TGAACACTACTGCTTCATGAATTTACAAGGTGGATCAGAGCATTTTGAGCTTTGGAAATGTTGACAAAGTAGTAATAAAGGTTTACTCAAACATGTATTAATGCAATAAAACACAACTCCAGGTATGTTTTTGAGTAGTTAACAATATTATAACATTGCTAAAACCTCACAAGAGTCAATTGTATGTAATATAGGACCTTTAATAATTCTACAGCAATCTCCAGTTTCAAGAACTCAACAACAAAATAATGCACAATATTTAAAAAGTAAATTCAGGTCTGGTCACCATTTCTTTTCCATTGCTAGATTTGAGAGAGGGCTTTGTTTCCTGACTGAAATTGATTGTTTTGTTTTCACTCTTTGCAAAAAAAAACTCTTTAAACATGCAGGTCAGTTGAAATAGATGTAGATTAGAGAAATCTTTTACAAACAACAAGCCAGTTTTGTTTTGGGTGGAGAGAGAAAACAGCCGAATCCAGAGACGAATAGAGGCACCGATGGATAACGACGCCAATGTTTCTTTTGTGAACTTTTATCATAAGTTTAGCCAAAGTGTTAGTGTAAATCAGCACGATGTGTCCGAGTCCTGGGTGGAAATCCCCTGAAACTCCCCAGGGCCACGGTGCAATATCTCAGCTGTCCGGCCGCCCATATCTCTCATCTGTGTCTGTGTGTGTGTGTGTGTCTGTGTGTGTGTGTTTAGAGCAGCTTTGAAGTCAGATAGCTGTTCAATGTTAACTGCAATTGTATCCTCTTTCAGTAGTCACATTAAAACATATCTAAACGCTCTGCTAGTGGAGATGTAGACATATAGGAAACGGCCCTAAGGTTTTCCGTTATGTTTGCAAATGTTGGACGATTAAATAGATTTTTCCCTTTCACGAGCTACAAATGATCAATTGAAAAATAGCTCAATGACATTTGACACACACTCATTTCTGATAGATTTTGTTGGTAAAAAAAAATAAATAAATAAACAAATGCCACAGAAAAAGAAAAGTAGCCTATTAGGTTTTATGAATATTTGAAGTCATGCCTCAAAACAACAGGGACTGAGCATGAATACAGCTGGTGCTCCATTTTTCTGCTGGAAATTTGAAATTGTGAAAAGAGCGGCCCTCAAGTCCAAATGTTGTACTATTACGATGGCACGAGGCTCAAGATACTGAGTGTATGCCTGTCATGACAACACTTTGAAGCACGATATACAGATACACAGAAATATCATGATAAATGAAAATATTGCAACTACTTTCACTGACACAATGACCTTAAAGGAGAATAATCCCAGTAAAACTTTTTTGAAGAGAATAACATGGTAAAATGTAACTAGTACAGGATGTAACAATAACCAACGTATGATATCATATCGTCAAAAGTCTCTCAATAATATCGTGGGCCATCACAGTATATTGAATCACAAGTTTCTTTGCTTAAATTCATTGTTATGGTGCAGCAATAGCTAAAAAAACAGAAGGAACTACATCGACCATGATTCTTTGCTCCATTTTGGTGTAAGCTACGTGAAGAAAAAGCAGCAAATTTCACAATAAATACCGTATCGTGAGATGCATATCGTTAAAATATCATTGAGATTTGGATATTGTTACATCCCTAGTGGCTAGCAATAAATAAACAGCACAATTAAACAATTAGTAGTTAGTATCTATAAAGTGTCATAAATGTAAATTATTTGACAAAGTGCCTCTTAAATGTGATGAAATAAGCCTGCTAGACTACATAAGATGACAAAAAAAAGAAAAAGAAAAGATACATGCGATATTTATTTAGCTTGAAAAAGTTTTCTTCTTTATATCACACACTGAACGATAAGTTGATATAGTATTTATTATGACAGGCCTATGTGAGTGTATGAGTGACCAAATATCCCCTATGGGAAATAATTACTAATATAATAGTAGAGAGACATACTGACACATTTTGGCTAGACTTGAATATTCTGAGGCTTATCTCGTAATTGTAATAATAATATCCTCAATCTGTCCCAAGAGCTAAATTACATTGTTAACCCAGTGCTTGCTTAGACATTGCTGTTAAAACTCATAATTGTGGTTTAACATTTTTAGAAGACGTCATCTTCTCCATAATATACAATAGCTTCGGTTTAGTGCTACATTATTGTGCTGCCATGACAGGCACAGTAATATAGTAGTATAAGTATAAAAGGTCCTGGTACAGCGCAGTACAATACATCACAATGAGAGGGTCGGTGCAGGCTTTACTCAGGAGGCTGCATTCCTTCAACTGTTAAGAAGTCACTGCTTTAAGGATTCAACAAGTCTGACTTAACCAACCCACTTCACTTCACTGAGCAAACAGGAAACACAACTGTCACAGACACACTGCACACTGTTACTTATAGTCCTACGTGACTGACAAAGCATAATAAGTATATTAATGTTCAACAGCACAAAGAAAACTTGAAACTGGGCTTCTTCTTTGCCCTAGGTAAATTTCTAGTTCTTAATATTTATGTATTTTGTATTAACCTTGCAATATGTGCATGATTATCGCAAAGAGGTCTATTCTGAGGGAATGGAAGACCACAACACTTAGCTGTTTCCATAAATGGTTAAACGATATGATGTCTTGTTTGTATCTTGAAGAGATTCTGTACAATCTTTCAGACCAGCAAGATAAATTTACGAAAATTTGGGGACCTTTTATAGATCATATTAAACAGAGGACTCGATCTCAAACTTCAGAGGACTGATCTCTCAGTTGAACGCTCCAGACATTAAATAAATTAATATATTGAAAAAAAAAATGCAATATGTAACTGTTGTTGTGCTCGAGTCCATGGAGATATGATTGCTTTGTTGTAAATGTTCCACAGTAGACTTTAGCAAGAAACTCATCTACATTTATTGCGTTTATTGATCAAAAATAAAACATTCTTTACTCGACTGGCCACTCATTTGACCTGTAACTGATGGCGATTTCTATGTGGCTAGATCAGGGGTGTCCAAACTTTTTCTTTTTTTTTTTATTAAGGGCCACATATCTAAACACAGACAAAGCACTGACTCGTGCTCAATACAGAGAATAATTGAAATATGTGCATGTTTAACACGTTAGAATGAGTCATCAGTCTTTATTCATGCTAAGATCCTTAAAATCACACACTAAATGTTAATTATTAGCTTTATCAAGGTAGATTTTCAAAAAAAAAAAAAAAAAAATGTTATTGATGAGCCAATTCACCTGGAAGCCTAAGGGCCAAGAAAAATTTGAGGGGTCCATTGTTGCTGATCCTGCATATCACATCGTGCTTATTTAGAGCTGATCTTAAAACGAAACTCAGCATAAACATAAACTGAAAGTGTAGGGTTCAAAGGTCACCGCTACAGCTGTAGAACACGCTGGAGTCAAGAGGTCAGGGCAAGTGCACGAGGGACAAGAGACTGGGCCATTCAAGTTGATGTGAATGGGAGAGAGGGGGACCAAAACTCACCTGTTAGTGTTGAGCGCCACCCCATGGTCAATTCGGTAAACTACATTGCATTCACGAGGCTGCAGATTTGTACTGCAACGCTAAAAGCCCAGTAGTACTTTTATACCATTACAGTGGTATAAAGTTAGGCTATTAGGCTATTGTTAAATGCAGTAGTAACAAAGTACAAGTAGTAAAGTCATGTACAACATATAAAAAAGTACATAAACACAACAAATAGTTCAGCGGAGGACACGTCTGCTTTTTTTTTTGTTAACGCTACTGATAATTTTGAGGCATAATAAATATTAAAACGCTACAAACTAAAGTTTTATATATTTAAAAATCACTGGGTTGTCTTCACTTTACTTTACTTTACTTCAATTAATAAACATTTTTGGTTGTTTATTGTATATTTTATGATTTTAATAAAGACGCATGACTTACAGCTGAAACTACTATAATAAACATCAAGCCGTGATAAAGTGTCGAGTAATTAGAACAGCTTTTCAAACCCAGTCCAGGTAAAACGAAACAAAAACGAAAATCGAAAATTAGACGAGCGTCCAGAGGTATTCAGAAGCAGCCCGTAGGTTTCGTTTTCCATTCTGACTTAACTTTCGTTTTTTGCCAAACTCCGCCCGTAGACTCGTATTTAATCAGCTGAGAGACGCACACAAACACTTTACATCATGTTTTCTTGGGGAGAGCAGTGTGCGCACGGCTTCAGGCTCAAAGACGGAACTTACACCGCCAAACCAGATGAGAATGGAGTTTGTTATTTAGACCTGGGCTCCCACATCACTCACCTGTCCGAGGGTCTGCGCGTGCTCTCTTTTGTCAAAACCAATGGAAATGTCTTTATTATTCACACCAATGAGAACAAGGACGGGACAAGAACCAGAGGGAAACAGAGTAAGTGAAAAAAAATATATATATATATATTATTTGCCTTAGTGTTGTGACCGTGTCTGGGTCTAACCTGTTGTGGCTCAGAGTGTTTGGACTTGAAGAAGATCAGAGCCGTGAGCTGCACTGATGACACAGTGACGCTTCTCAACAGGAAGGGACAGGTGTTCTGCTTTGACCCAAAACTTGGCAAAGGAAATCCAAGGTATGTGAAATTATTTATTTAGGCTATTAATAAAACAATATACTGATAATTTGACAGATACGTGTGGTGTTTGGGAAGCATCTTCTGATTTTACTTCTCTCAGGGTCCCGAAAAGCCTGATTAGTGTACCAGTGTCACAAGTTTCATGTGGAAGCCAACATTCAATTGCACTTACTAAAGGTACTTGTAGTGTAATATTTGTATTAAAATGATTTGAATAATAATGACAAAAAAATAAAAAATAATTAAAGAACTATGGTGAAAACAGAACTTGCTCTTTATATTACTGTGTGTTTTTTCTTCAGATGGGCAGGTGTTCACTTGGGGCCAGAACTCCAGAGGTCAGCTGGGTCTGGGAAAGTCCAGTGTGCCCTCACCTGAGCACGTGCAGCACCTGTCGGACCTGCCCCTGGTGCAAGTGGCAGCAGGAGGGGAGCACAGCTTCAGCCTCTCTCTGTCTGGAGCTGTGTTTGGATGGGGCAACAACTCCTGTGGACAGCTGGGCCTGGGGGACACTACAGGTACTATCTCATTATAAAGTTTACAAGTTTATATAAAGTGTTTAGATAAAGATATAAAAATATATAAAAATATATAAAGAAGTAAGCTGGTGTATTTCCTGCAGACAGGGATAGTCCAACTGTTGTTCATTATTTGAACACAAAGAAAACCTGTTTGATCTCCTGTGGACTTTCACACACTGCAGTTTTGACCAAGGTGAGACACACTACACCAGATGTACATGTATGTAAGTATGTATGTACGTCATACATACATTCTTACATACATATACATACAAGCTTTTATTGTGTTTTTCCTCTCTGATATATACATATATACACATACAGTATGTTTGTGTATTTGTGTAGGATGGAGCCGTGTTCACATTCGGTTCAGGTCAACATGGGCAGCTCGGACATAACTCCTTCAGGGATGAACTACGACCTCGACTCATCGCAGAACTCTTAGGGGCCAAAGTTAAACAGGTGGCATGTGGCAGGTACATAACTAATGCCCTGAACTGAGCTAGTATTTTCCTTTTATATGATTCTTAAATAAAGCTCTCCCACAGACAGCACACACTGGTGATGACAGAGTCTCAGAGGTTGTTCTCGTGTGGTTGTGGAGACCAGGGCCAGCTCGGACACAGAGGAGAGAGTCCTGCTGTCCCTATGCCTGTGCATCTGCCACCAGGTAACACAAAGTCATGAAGGAAATTATGTATTTTTAAATTTAAATGTTTAATGTTAACATTTCTGATGGAATTACAGAACACAGTGAAGGAGTCAAAGTTGGCAGTATCTTTGCTGGAGCCAACTGTTCTTTTGCGACATGTTTTTCTGAGGTAACAACAAACAAACTCAGTGTTATAAGTATAAACTGTAGTACATTAGAAATAACTATAAAAACTTCTATAGGACATGCATACAGTGTTTAACATTGAGACATGGAAAGAACAGCCAAGTCTTGAAGATCTGATTCTCAAATGGACTTCAGGCTCTGAACCATGGAAACAAACTAAACTGTACGTGTAGATAAGTTGACATATTATTCATGCTGTAATTCATTCAGTTCTCTAATGATAATGTTCAATTTAACAGAGATATCCAGAAGACATTTTCCTCCCTGTCACGTTTGAACAGAAGCTTTCTTGAACACAGGTCAGTAATAGTAGTTACATGAACTACAACATGTAGTCTAGTGTTTTTATTAACTACTATGCTGTTTTAAAGTAGCCTAATTAGTGTTTTATCAACGTTTTTGAATATAACAGAAAAGACAAGCACTTACAGACATCAGCAAATTATTGTGGCTTGGATCTATCAGCTGCTGAGAGATCTTTTGCTAATCTTCTCAACAAGGAAAATGTTTTGGAGCAGGTCAGTATTATGTTTACATTTCATTATCCAAGAGTACTACTAAATAATGGAACTATGAAACATCACATTACATTACCCACTAGTATTACACCATTATCTTGAAGTGCTTTCTGTAACGGTGCAGTGCTTAACTTTTTGGCTGGGGGTCCGTCACCTGCTTGTTTCTGTGGATGTGTCATTGCTTTGCCTGAAATGTTCCACAGTATGACATTAAACAGCTCTACCTTACAATTATTAAATTACAGGTGGTTTTATTGCTCAAACATACCTTAAAAAAACATTCTGATTATGAGTGGGTGAAGGTTATGAAGGTTTAATATCATACTGTAAACTTTCTGGACAAAGCTACAATATCAAAATCATTTGATGGACTCTCCACCAGAAAAGTTATACAATGCACCTTTAACTGTGATAGAATGTAAATATATACCACACATGAATGACCTGTCTGGTTATTTCCAATGGATCATTTCTACCTATATTCAGTAGTTGGCGTCATTACCATTTGTAATTAAATACTTAAGTTAAATGTACTTGTTTGTGTGTTGCCAGGTTGAAGCTGTGGTCCTGGACTCGCTCTCCTCTCTGAACCGTACCCCAGTGGGAATAGAGGGTTTGAGGGTCTATCTGCTCTTCACTGAGCTCCTGGTGGTGGTCCTCAAACACAACAAGGACTCAGAACTGGCAGAGGAACTGGCTGATGCAATTCACAGCCTGCCACCCGAGAGCCGCAAAGTCTTAAGTACTGCTCTTTTGCTTTGATTGTTTACTTTTAGTGTTGTATTGGAAATCCTCTGAATAATTCAACTTTTCAATCCAATGTTTTCTTTTTCAGGAGACTGGCATGCCTCTCTGTCATATTCTACCAGAAAAAGACACGTGGAGGTGTGGAGGGATGCTTTGTCTCAACTGCTCCTCTGTTTCAATGGTTTTAATTATCACAAAAACCTGGTGCTCATCCTTGAAGAGATGTACAATGTTAGTATTTTTTTTATTCTTTGTTAATAAGAGGTAGCCTTTTTATCTTTGAATTGAGCTAAAATCCATAGAGATACTACATTTTCTTACGTTTTGATTCTAACTGTATTATGGCAGATTCAGTGTTTATTTTTATTTTATAAGAAGAATAAAAGACAATGTCATTTACAGATCAACGCTACAAAAACAGGTGATGAAAAACTCCCAGAAACAACATTTTGGCTAAATCTGAGTGAAACCTTCCTCCAACACGATGTCAGTAATTGGCGGGTCTTAAAAGCAAAAACGGTAAAGAATTTTTAAACTGGATAATTTTATATATTATACAAGTGAAGGTGATTACTAATCTTATATCATCTTTCTGCAGTGCTTTTTCGGTGACCAAACTGCGCTTTGTAACTATGCGTTCCTGCTGGATCTTGAATCTAAGAAAAAAGCGTTTGACTTGGATTGTAACTGGACTAAGGTAGACTCAGCTTCTTAATTTAACTTGTTGTATAAGGAATAAGGTTGTAACAATATCAAAATCCCTTACCACAATATTTTCATGATGTGTATCTCACGGTTCGATATTTATTGCGATATTTATTAGAGGCTTATAAAATTGTGAATAAGGTACTTTTTCCTTGAAGCCTTGAAAAGCCTTTGGTACTGTTATAATATGAAGAATTAAGATTTAAAAGTCCTAATAACACCAAAGGATCATGGTGTATATAGTTGGCAAGGCAAGTTTATTTATAAAGCACAATTCATACACAAAGTCAAAGTGCTTTATAAAAAAAGAAAGACATTAAAATCACAAAGAAAGAAATTAAAGTCACTATAAGCGAAGAGACTTGTAATTCGATATATTGTGATGGCCTGCATTATTATTGTGAGACTTTTGACAATACGATATCACAGTATTTTGGCTAATTATATTTTTGTATTACAGAAAGAACATCAGGTTAACCAGCAGAATCTTTTTCTCCCTTTTCTTGGATGGATTACTCAGTCTCAGCCCGATTACTTTTATCTCAAATTGAAGCGGGCATCATTTGTAGAAGACACTTTTGAACAGCTGGCTGCTTGTTCTGATAAAGCCTTGAAAAAGCCACTTATGGTAATCTTCCCTATTCCCTATTGATCACAGTATGGACACATGCACAGCCACTGTTAAGCCTAATGAAATGTTGTTGTTTTTTTAATATTAGGTGCATTTTGATGAGGACCCCAAAATCACAGATGTTTACAAAAGAGATCTGTTTCACCATCTGTTTCGGAAGATTATTTCTACTGACTCTGAAATGCTACAGTTCAATGACTCTCAAACACTGGCTTGGTTCCCCTCCAAAGTAAGGTTCATAACACACCAAAAATGGTATGCAAAATAAAGTGCTGCATTTATACTTGTTTATATATTTTTTTTAGAAGATATCAGAGAAGAAGAAAGAGCAGTTCTTTCTTTTTGGGAAGCTTTGTGGTTTGGCTTTGTACAATCAGAGCATTATACACCTGCCTTTTCCTCTGGCTCTGTTTAAGAAGCTCCTCGGTGTAGAGCCGTGTCTGGACGATCTCACTGAACTCAGCCCAAATGTTGGAAAGTATGTGAAACAACATTGCAGCACTTACATTAGTTATGAATGATCTGCATGTTCGAAGCCCATTATCCTCATTTTCAACATCCTACCTTCCATTTTATGCATTTGTTAAAGATGCACTATGTAACTTTTTGGTTGGGGAGCCGTCACCTGCTTGTTTCTATGGATATGCCCTTCATCTGCGTGGAATGTTCCACAGTATGACATTAAACAGCTTTACCTGACATTTATCTAATTACAGGTGGTTTTATAGATAAAAAAATATCTACAAAAACACACATTCTGACTGTGACGGGGTTGCCTCTCCACAGATCTAACTAACTTGGTAGCTTGGTTTGGTCTCCATGATGATAGAAAGTTTTAATGACATACTGTCAAGCATTCCAGACAAAGCAATAATATCTCCATGGAGAAAAGTGTTTGACTGGCACTCCACCAGAAAAGATACACAATGCACCTTTAAAACTTTTCCTTCTGTTTTTTCTGATAATTTTGTCATTTTTAATTCTGTCAATATTTGTCACTTGAACATATGTGATGAATGCCCTCTAATTATTTCTGTTTTCCAGAAGTTTACAGTATGTTCTGGACTTTGACTCCAACGTAGAAGATCTGGATATGTATTTTACAGTAAGTATGGCAGTTATCACATACATGACTACATACATTTATGCCAAAAATATGCCTTCAACATATTTTACCAACTCTATTACAGATAGACTGGGATAAAACAGAGGTTGAACTTGATCCTTCAAATCCTGGCAAACCAGTGACGAATGACAATAGGTGAGTTTCCTTCAATAAGAAGCATTTTGAATATGAAAGATGCTCCACCAAATAGAACCAAAAAGACAATAATTGATGACTAAATAATTACATATATTAATGATAATGGCACTTACACATGTGTGGTTTTGGTGAAAAATGCTTTTCATGCTTAAAGAATTGTGATCTATGTAATAATGTAGCCTGATTCATCAGATGGTTTCACTTCATGGAAATTGTCTGACCCTGCAGCATTAGAATTTATTCACTTGACAGTAGGCGGGTACTTTTTTATTTAACCAATCGATGCTATTTGGTCACGATGTATGTAATGCACCACTAACAGGGCTAACTGGTATATTAAGCTTTTCCCAAATCCCATAGGAAGAAGGGCAATAACGTCTTTCCTCTTGGTAAAATTCACCAAACATTCTCTTTGTTCCGGCTTTAAACCCTCAATCTCAGGCATCGTTGCCAACACATGTGTGGCTCTTCGCTGATTGGCTGGTGCCCGGACTCGCACTTCCAGGATTCTTGCAAACCGTCTATTGTATTCCGATTCCTGACCTACTCACTGGAGAGAAATGAAACTGAGCGGAGGCACTAGATGGCACCAGCCTGGCTAATAATAATGTTATTTCCTCATCAAAAATGTAACTGTAGTTGTGTTTTGTTTCATTCACATGTTTAACAAACAAACCCTGCTTATATAGGTCTTTAGGTTATTATATTTAGGTTTTTTGTTTGAAAGAATTCTTCTCTCACTCTGTTCCACCTTGTGATGTTATGTAATAATACAGTGCTCCAGTGTGTTTTTAAACTCCATACGCAGTCACAATCATTTGGGTAATTTCAGCTCTACTGAAATCTCTACTGAACAAAAGGCAAACTGTTAACTTGAAAACTACTGCTTCATGACATCACAAGGTGGAACAGAACATTTTGAGCTTTGGAGACAAGCTAATAGTAAAAGATTACATGTATGTTTGAAGCACTGTAGGTATGCTTTAGCATTTTAACATGGCTTAACGACTCACAAGACTCACTTTTGTGTAATATTCTATTAAGGAATCTTCAACTCTTTTTTTTTACCACACCTATCTTGTGTCATAGTTTGTTCAAATACCACTATATTTTGTGTCGTACCTTTGCACAGGCAGGAGTTTGTGGATGCCTATGTGCACCATGTGTTCACCTCGTCTGTGCGGAGTGCGTTTGAGGAGTTCAGACGTGGCTTCTTCCAGGTGTGTGAACTGTCCACACTGCAGCTGTTCACACCCGAGGAGCTGAGGGGCGTCATGGTGGGCAGCGAAAACTATGACTGGGCCTCCTTTAAAGAGGTACTACTCTCAACTTTAAAGGGCATGTATTACGCCCTTTTCTCATCTATGGTATCAAAAACGTAGCTGCAGTTGTGTTTTGTTTCATTCACACGTTTAACCATAGACTGTATATATAAATGGACATAGCTAATGTGCTAGCCGCCACATTCCAAATAGGAAATGCGCATGCGGGCTCTTCCGGCTCCTTCTGACCCTGGTTCCCATTGACTTACATTGGAATATTGTGGCCCCCGTCTCTGTAACTGCTGCAGTGAGCCTTCTCATTTTGTTCTTGAAATGTTTGTTTTAACCCGCTCTACATGATCCTGCTGTTTTGTTTTGTTTTTTTGTCCTATTTTGTCCATAAAAAAAATCCTATTTGAATTAATAATAATATTGAGCCTGGCTCTAAATTTGCCCCTGTAACTAGTTTCATTTGAGTGGAGCCGAATGCCATGGGTTAGTACCACACAGGTACCTGTTAGCATTAAATCTACCACTACATGACATCACAATGTGGAACAGAGTATTTTGAGCATTGGATTTGTAAACAGACTTATAATGCAGAATTACTCAAACATCTGTGAATGAAACAAAACACAACTCCAGAGATGTTTTTGAGGAGGTAACAATATTATAACATGGCAAAAATCTGTCAATTTAGTCAGTTTAGGTAATATAAGGCCTTTAACTGTATATCGTCATATATATCTATAGCCTAAGAAAAAATGTGAAGTTACTACTTTCAGAAAACAGGCTACATTTTGTTTGTGTCTTGACAAGTGGCAAATTTAGTTACTGGATTTTAATTAAGGAATAATAACCAATATAAATATAAGTATATAGCTATATAGCGTCATAATTACACAAATCACTGTCAAGTAATTTAAATGTTTAATTTGTTTTATTTCATTACTGATTGGTTTGTTTATTTATTTAGCTGTTTTTCTGTCTCTTCTTTATTTAGAACACTGTCTATGAATGTGAATATCACAAAGACCACCCCATTATTCAGATGTTTTGGGAAGTTTTTGAAGAACTCAGTGAGGAAGAAAAGAAAGATTTTTTATGTGAGTAATTACAGAACTACAAAACACAAATCCTACTTATAATAATTCACCGTAATATGTATATATTATTTACAGTACTGTATTGAAAACCACAACCTTAAGCCATTAATAAAAATGATGAATCTAGTGATCTTTTTAAAAACTTGGTTTATAGTTACTGATAGCCTTTTGTTTTTAGGGTTCGTGACTGGATACAGACGAGCTCCTATCTTTGGACTGGGTCAGATTCAGATGAAAATCCGCCAGAAGTATTTGCCTCATGGTCGCGCTGATGCACACTTCCCTGAGACGCTCACATGTCACTCAATCCTGGAGCTGCCTCTTTACACTTCTAAAACACCCTGAGAAGAAAACTGACTGAGGCCATCCAGCCAGAGACAGGCTTCAGAACATAATCACTTTCTCTACTAAATATTGACTAAAAACGCTACCATAATTTATTGTATGAAGGGAGTGCACTTTATAACATAGAGTTTGTCTATATTTTGTATTGTATTATATTGAACAGTGATTTTGTTTGTAATAATTACTAGTATCTGTATAAAGTTGTTCATTGTTCGAAATCACCACTAGAGGGAGCCAATCGTCTGTTTCTTTTTTCCACTACATGAATGACACAAATAGCTGCAAAGATGAGATCATCCTCCATGCAGGTCATCTCTCAACAAAAGACCAGCACTGAGTGATAAAAAACATAGTTTCACCTTCAAGGTGTGTCGATTAGTGTGATGTTTTAGTATGTTTGTATTCATTATTGAATAAATTGTATGCACAGAAAAACTAACCATAACCTTGAGATGTACGAAACAGCCTACCATTCGATTTACCTATATGACATACCAGAACTTCAGCAGCATTTTAAAGACTTTAAAAGAGATGCTTCCCATAACACCTTTAGCCTATATGCTGCCACATTTTCACTATTTTACTGAAAAGGCAATTATGTTAATGATCTTTTCTTGTGTGGCTCTGTACCCAGTAAAGTTTTAATTAGTTTTTAACCATGGAACACAGCGGCCACATTCTTGTCCCTTGTTCTCAATAAACAAAGGAGCTTACTTTAATCATTATATAATTGTTGGACTTCCGAAGCCTATACTGTGCCCAGACTGTTGTGTGAGCGCAGGGCCGCTCTCCCAGAGGCAGGAGGAATGTGTTGACGTCAAAAGGAAACTGGACGCGCGCGCACCTGTGCACGAAGGCGCGCGCACTTCGTCCTCTCCACTGAGCGGTGCTCGTGCTCAGCGCTCCGACTTGAGCGAGCAGAGCTTAGCAGTAGAGCTCACTGCTCAGGCACACATGAGGAAAGTGCCTCTCACATGGAGCGCTGACATGGAGCAGACGCACTCACACAGATCCAGCCGCGTGGATGTTTAAACTGTGCGTCAAACGAAGATCGTCAACGACGCACTGAAGCCAGAACAAGCCCGCAGCTTCGGGATTATTCCACAACAACAATGGTAAGTGAACATAGAGTGTTCAGTCTTCTAGGTTCAGCAGCAGCGGCGTCATCCGCATGTAGCGCTGTTGGGGCCGCTGTTATTGCGTGTTTTGAGATGTTTAAGTGGGCAGAGGATGGAGCTGTACCTGCGTATTTGTCAACTGTGGACTGCAGCAGACTGTTCAGCTGGCCTCAACTCAAGTGTAGCGGCTCATGGCAAGTGGCCACAATATGCACTATGTAAAATACTGTAATGCCTCTAAGTGCGCACATAGCAGGCCCGGTTTAATGGAACCAAAGAGTGTATTTGTCATCATCATCTGCTCGTATACAGTAGTACACGACAAGAGATGAACAACCTCACTGGTCCCAGGGGTGTGACTGAAGGTAGTGAGACAGTACTGTTAAATATGGGGACCCTTCTAGTTGACAGGCAATAGAAAGCACCTATTTGAGAGCTTTCAAGTGTACACAGTGTTGGACTTACCAAAGCTCACCAAATTCAGCATCGTAGAAAAGGCCAACAACGCATAAAAAGTACTGTGGACAAAATAATTCTTCAAAACAATGAAGTAACAATGAAAAACATATAATTTTTGCACGTAGAGTCTCAAAGCTCTGGTTCCCATCACTGTTGTTGACAAAGCTGGTCTTATAAATATGTGATGATTGAAGATACAGTGACATCATCAGCTCTAAAGCCCCTTTGACCCTTTTAGTCAAACTAATGAAGACCCACTCGTGTGCACACACTCTAACATACATTATAGTGTCCTGTTACAGCATTGATCCACGTCCCATTTGTGCTGGATGGGTGTTATTTGAGATATGGGCCAAGCAGCATCTTCAGTTATGGACGATAGAGGAATATTTTTACTGCAGTGGTTTCATCTGTAAACATCAGTGTCAGATACAACAACAACAATAGATGTGATAAAACAGCTGCTGACTTCCCCTAAAGCTCTTTTCTCATTGGACCCAAACCATTAACGCATTCATTATATATATCTTTTTTTCAGGCAACACTGCGTTCGTGAGGAGCACCTTGACTCAAGCACCTTCCTGCATTTGTCCCTCTTTGCGTGTCCTACCGGGCTGACCTGACGTCAAACTCCCAAAATGGACTGCCCAGAAGCCGTCATTTCTGTGGAAGAGGGCCGGCTCAGTCCTAAAACTGTCCCAGGGCGCTCTGACCTCAGCGGGCTTTACCACCTTGGGCGGACGCTGGGCAGGGGGCACTTTGCTGTGGTCAAACTGGCACGTCATGTCAACACTGGTCAACTGGTGGCTATCAAGATTATTAATAAAACGAAGCTTGATGTCATGGCAACAAGCCACCTCTTACAGGAAGTGAGGTAAATGCAACTAATGTACAATTATTTCTATGGAGGAGGACAGATATGACAGATTACACCCTCCAGTCAGCATTTTCATCAAACGTTTCATAAAATGTGTTGACTCATTTGAGACCAAAATAGAACAGCGCTGTCTGAAATGAATGTTGTGATCAAAAACGCCTCGGTCTTTTAAAAGCTTAAGATGATTTCTATATTCTTAGTATTATATTTATGGACAAAAGCAACTTTTTTGTACTTCTTCCTACAGTAATTTCAATGGTAAAACTCAAGTAGTGTATATTAAATTACAATTCATTTACATTTATTTTTTTGGACCTGTTTTTAGGTGCATGCGGCGGGTGCAGCATCCAAACGTGGTGCGTCTTTACGAAGTCATCGACACCCCGAGCACCCTGTACCTGGTGATGGAGCTGGCAGAGGGTGGCGACCTGTACGACTACATCCAGCGCCATGATGGGGGCGTGGCCGAGGGCACCGCTAAACGCCACTTCGCTCAGATTGTCCGCGCTGTGTCCTACTGTCACCGTCTCCACGTGGTCCATCGAGACCTTAAACCCGAGAATGTGGTGTTCTTCCCGCAGCAGGGGGCAGTCAAGCTCACAGACTTCGGCTTCAGTAATCTGTTTCAGCCCGGCACCATGTTAGCGACGAGCTGCGGGTCACTGGCCTACTCCGCACCAGAGATCCTGCTGGGAGAGGAGTACGATGCTCCTGCTGTGGGTGAGTGTTCAGAGGCGATGGCAACTTTTATGTGTTTGCTTAAAGGTGCATTATGTAATTTTTCTAACGGAGTGTCTGTCCATCAAGTGCTTTTCTCCACTGGGTTGTTATTCCTTTGACTGAAATATTTCACAGTATGGCAGTAAACCCTTCTCATCTCATCATCATGGAGACTAAACCTGTTACTGGTCAGATCTGTGGAGAGACTACCTCACTGACAGTCAGAAGGCCTGTTTTTCTAGGTATTTTTAAGCAATAAAACCACTTTTAATTTAATAAATGTAAGGAAGATCTGTTTAATGTTAGCAAAGACATATCCATAGAAACAAAACCCTCAACCAAAAAGTTACATAGTGCACCTTTAAAGCCACAGTATGTAACTTTTTAAGCCAAAAATAGACAAATTTTTTTTTTTTTTTTTTAAATTTTGGTTGTGTTTATGTAACTGAAAAACATATAAAAACATAAATCCTTAGTGTGAGCAGGCTTTCAGCTCCACAGAACAGACTCCAATCTGGCCTGAATGAGTCCAGAGTAAGGCACAAAACTTATCTATCTCCACACAGAATGTTCTGAAGTATAGCTTTGACTTTCTGTTTTATAAAATTATGCAGGTGACACCTTCTGAAAGTTACATACTGTACCTTTAACTTTTACTCATTTCCATTTTGCATAATTCATTAATACATGTTTATACAACTGCTTGAGGACATAGGACACTCTGTGCAAGTCCCATTGCTGAATAAATGTAGTCAGGCTCACTCCACCCCTGATCTGCAGCCTCTACACATCTATACACAAAACATAGAATACAAGAGCATCTGGGAGGGCATCTGGGGTAGGTGCTAATCATTGCTAAAGATGATTTTTAACAGATTCAACATCATTTTTGACTGTCTTACCAAAAATACTGAGAATTCACCTGCAGTCACTTTTGACCTACATTTTACAGAGACTCTTTATGTATTCTTTAGTTTTACCTTAATTACAAACAAATCCCTGCAGTAACTTGACCGTTCAGGGTTTGGTTACAGTACATGTGTTTCCTTCCTAAAACCACTTAAAACGTGTATATTCTTTCAGTGTACCAAAGCTTATCCGATGACCTTGTAGCTTCCTCTTTATTATCGCTTGTCTGTTGACATTCACGCAGTCATATTCCGTCTGGATTGTTGTGTGATTGTGTATTTGTGCTTAGGATTAGTGCGTAGTAGCGAATGTGGGTCAGTCTTAGCAGTCAGTCAGTCGTGAGCCAACTGAGCACGTTCGGCGTTTGAGCCAACACTGCAGCTCCCCACTGGACTCCCTCTGCATCGCAAGCATTTTGTCTGTGTGTGTGTATGGGAGAGTGTGTGTGTGTAGTGAGACAGAGATGGATAACACTAAGAGAAAATCCCATGCATCAGTATTATCCAGTGTGAGGCTATACTGATACTGGGGCAGAGGGAGAGGGAGGTCCTGCAATGTACTTGAAACACAGTATAGAGAATAGAAATGCACTGACCCAGCTTTTTCAGTTCCGATACTGATTTCGATACTTTGGCTGCTGATACACGATAATAGCTGATACCAATGCACAGACTGAAAATTGTATTTAATTCCTTCTGCTAAGACCAAAACCAATCCAAACATGTTATGTAACTCTTATTTATAGCTCAAATAACTTTAGAATAACTTTGTGTAAATAAAAATCCAAATATTATGCAACATGTCTGGGCCAACTAAGATCTGTTAATAGTTTTATTACATCAATTTATGTACAGCCAGGATATCAACTAAACCGATATTTGGATGCCGATGTTCAATCAAGCTGATTTTTCAGTATCAAAACTGATGTCCGATACCAGTGCATCCCTAACAGAGACGCGCTAAATCTGATCTTTACTGATCTGTAAAGCTGGAGCTTATCTAAGGAGGAATTATTGCACATTATTACAGACGCAGAATCATTTTTCTGTCAAGCCCGCTAATACTATCCATAGGCCACATAATAGCACCAAGGCAAACAAAAGATCCGCTGTTAAATCATTTCAGGGGAACATTTTTATAACCTCTGTCTGTGTTCTAGGTCATGTTGTGCAGATCAAGATAAGTAACTATGGAAACCTTTGATGCTTTTCACTTCTCTGCTGGCAGTGTTTAGGATAGGATGGCTCTTTTGTAATTTGTTCTTCTCTAATTACTAATAACAGTGCAACAAGTAAAGCTGTTGTAATCCTATTTAGAGTTATACATTATAACATTTTCAAACAATACTTCTGTTCATTTCACTGTCTGCTGGATGCTGTGGCTAGTTACCATAACGATGTGTTTGAGTGTTTTAACTGACCCTATGTTGTCGAAGTGAGCTGTGTCTGATAGTGAAAATGTTAAAGAAGACATATGCTTGAGCCTGCTTTAGCTATGACACCCACAGATCATTATGTTATAATCTGCACATTTTAAATTGCAATATTCATCTAAAACAACTTAAAAAAAGAAACAAGTCTGCTGATTTCGGCATTACAAAACTGCTGTGCAAATGGGAGTAGATGTAAATGTCATCACAACAAAGAGTTGTGAAGTTGTCAGCACCTCTTATGGACAGCTGCACATCATTCTATGGAGTAGCAGATTTAAAAAAAAGTAATTTATACTAAAATTACTACATGATTCTGCCAAATTCTATACGTATCACTAAATTAAGAAATTGAAGTTGGAAAACGAAGTAAGTACAAAGGGATGGGCATATGCTGGTGGCAGTGAAAATGGGTTGATCAGAAATATGGCATCTTGAAAATAAGTTATTGCTCAAACGTGCACGAGTCTTGCACAAGTACAACTTCAAGAAAGGAAATGAGAAGGGGAAATAACTCTTGCATCATGTGTTTCCAGCACTGTAGCAGCACTGTACTGGCTGTTTGTCCTTGTCAATAGCTTCTATTTCTCCATGTTCCTACCACTCTTAAACATCTCCAAACATTTTTCCCAAGTTTACAGTGACCACATAAAGGCAGCGTTAATTCTTCTCTTGTTTATAAATCTAACGTCACAGCCACTCAGTCCACTTCTCAATAAGGAAACCCATTGGTCCAGCGTCTGTGTTAAAAATAGACCTGAATAAACTCACATGCCTCCACATCTCCAGCATGACTTATGAGCTCCTCCACTTCCCCTTTTTCATGTTCCTGTTTTTTTAAGTGTCCAGGTGAAGAGAAGAGTGCCCATTTAAGTCCCTCTGGGTGTTTGCTCTGTAATGTCCTGTAGTAAAGCTGCCATGATAATGAAATTTCAGTACAAAAATAGATTCTTGTGAGATTAAAGCTATGTTATAATGTTGTTACCTCCTCATAAACATACTTGGAGTTGTGTTTGTTCCATTATTATTAGTCTGCTACATCTCCAAACCTCAAAATGCTCTGGTCCACCTTTTCAGTATGCAGAGTTTGTGTGTTAAACATGTGTGAATGAAACCAAACACAACTCCAGGAATGTTTATGACGAGGAAACAATAGTATAACACAATGCTGGGCCCTTTAACAAAGAAATAACGTGTACAAGATAACATGTACAGATCCATTATCTTCCTGAAATAAGTTGAAGCAGCCCTAGGACCTGTTCCTTCTTTCTTGTTCTCATTTAAAACTGAACACCCCTGCAGTCGTGTGACTCTTTGAGCTCACCTCTACTGTCTTTCATGACTTGGCCTCTTATTGTATCTTTATTTATGTCTCCACACTGACACTATTTTCTCCATCCTCCTCTTGGCCCTGTTCTGTGTGTTTGTTTGGTGATAGTCATATGATTGAGAGAAGAAGCTCCACGGGCGGTTTGGATAAAGGATAAACATACAGGAGCTCAGTTACATAATGTGTGACCACCACTGAGAGACGCCGGCATTTACAACAAGGTGTAACTTTTCTGGTGGAGGGTAGGTCAAATGCTTTTCTCTGTGGAGATGTTATTGTGTTGACCTGAATGCTTCACAGTATAGTATTAAACCTTTCTATTATCAAGGAGACCAAACGTGACCATTTTACAGGTTAGATCTGCGTAAAGACAACCCTGTTCACAGTTTTTCTAAGTATTTTTGAGCTAAAAAAAACACATATAATTTAGTAAATGTAAGGTAGAGCTGTTTAATATCATACTGTCGAACATGGCAGAGCAATGACATATAAACAGAAACAAGCAGGTGATGGACCCCCTTAATGCATCTTTAAGGCAGAGAAAGGGCTGTGTTTATTGGTTTATGCTCTCCATTATCTCCAGATGTACACTGCATGGCCTCGTGCTTGTGTACTCTTGGTAAATACATAAGAAGGGTGGAGTACTCACACAGAGGATGTGGTGAAGAACTTCTCCTTTTCACAGGGTGGGTGCCACAGACAATAAGTCACATGAAAGTGTCTAAAATGAACTTTTGATCTATGTTAATTAACTCAGTTTTTCCTTGTAAGATAACTCTAAAAATAAGTATTTTTTTGGATTAAATTTTTAAGAGTCCTATACTAGTATCACAGTATTTCCTGATTTATGTTATAATATTGTTTCCTCCTCACAAACATGCCTGGAGTTGTGCTTTGTTTTGTTTGCGCGTGTTTAACACACAAACCCTGCTGAGTTCTTCCCTCAAATAGAAAACACTCTGTTCCACCTCATGTGGTAGTTTTAAAACTCCATATACCTTCACTTGAATCATTTGGGTCTCTACTGAACAAAAGGTAAAAGACAGCTGTTAACTTGAAAACTATCACTTGATGAGATCACAATGTGCTTTGGAAATGTAGACAGACTAATAATAAAGATATGTGTGAATGAAACAAAACTCCAGGTATGTTTTTGATGTGGTAACAGTATTATAACATGGACCTTTTTAAGCGCTTGATGGGTTCATTAAATCTTAAGACCTGTACGTTTTTATTATTTTCAGAAGACCCCTGAAGATAAGTACATGTACAAAGTTGAAAAAAACTGAGGCACTCAAAAAGTGCAAAAATGATCAAAAGCCTTTAATACTATATGGCAGATAAAGTTTAAGTTAAAATCAACTTTGTATTTGAGACTGGTCCCTACACTGAAGACCACCAAAAGGACAATTCTGCACAATCTCTGTACATCCAAGTAGCACTCCTGCCCCCTAATGTTTTGCATGTAAGTACATGTATTTACAAAGTGTCATCAATACGAGATACTTAAACTGATACTTGTTATTGATATTTCCAGCTTGGGCTCAAAAACACAAACTTCATTGTCCCAACAGTGTATTTTGGTGATACATTTGTGTTACATTCAGTTGAGAGCAGAAAAATCCAGTTTCTGCAACTTTTTTCCTGGACAGACTTCAACCCTGAATGGCCCCTTACACTGTTACATAGTACAAATAATCAATTATTGTAGGCATGGGGCCACTTCCAGCAAAGCAGAATAACAATGGAAGAACTTTGTGGGAAATGGACGACAGCAGGAGAAATTGAATAACATTTTTAAAACGCCTAAATCCAAAGCAGCTGAACATGTGGCTGAGGTTTTGTGTGTACCTGGAGCTGTGATGTCAGCAAGACACTAATGCATGCTGAGAAAGTGTGATATTCCCCAGAGAGTAGAGAAAAGTACGCTCCCAGCACCGACTTGCCCTCCTGTTGCATAATGCTTGTGCGGACTTGTGGGTGCATGTGAGTGTGCATGTGAGCGTGCGTGTGAGCGTGCGTGTGAGTGTGCGTGTGAGTGTGTGTGCGAGCGTGCGTGTGAGCATGCATGTGTGCTTGTGGCCCAGTCAAAACGGCTTTGTTCAGGCCACTGCTGTTATGTGGTACAACTAAGGATTGATTTATTTCACTAGAGCAGAAGAATGCAAGGACACCACACAATGAGAAGTACTTTTGATTTAAATTCAAGCAGTGGAAGATAAAATACTTGTCAAAGCGGTCAAGATAGTCTGATGAATGACAGGAAAAAGTCTGTGTAAACTTGTTCAACTGACCTTGAAGAAAACGATTACATTTATGCATGATTTCCACAGCTTTATTGTTTCAGGTGGTACAGTTTTCTTTAGCCCATTTGACAAAGTGAAGCAGACTTTTACATAATTCTAAAAATATTCTTTAAATGGCCAACAGCATGAGGAACTGTTTTATTGTTACATCACAGTAGGCACAGAGCGGACAGTTTGTGTTTAGACCAAAGTGTGAAGGAAATGCTGAGAATAGCTGCACAGCCAACAACGCACTCCCTGTTATGGGCACAGCTCTCTCTCCTCTCTTCAAGTGGACCATGTCGTGCCCCGGTCTGGCTGGTCTGGGCTGGCACTGTCTGTCTGTCTATGTGTCTATCTGTGGAGGGGGCAAAGGGAAGGAAAAAGGAAGGGAGGGGGTTTTAAAAGAACACTGTGTCAAACTCAAGAAGGGGTCTGAACTCTGTCTGTGTCAACCATCAGACCGGACATCCCCCTTTCACACTGGACATACCTCAACATTATTATGACTTAGACTTAAACAAACTTTTTTGATCCACCAGGGAATTATTTGGACACAGTTGCTCACACAGCACAATATAATATCCTAACAAAGAGCAAAAAATGTAATTTGTAATAATACATTCAAAATAAGTAGCAAAAATAGCAAGAAACTGGTGTAAATTTTTGATAAGATGGTGAAGTGACCCTGTGAAGTAAAGACTAATATAAAGGTGCAGTATTATCTAACTTATGCTTATATAACTAAAATAAAATACATTAATTCTTAATGTGAGCAGGAGCGCCTCTCCACTGATCTGACCTGTAACTTGAACTGGTCTGGTTGGATAAATTTAAAGGCAGTGTTTCAGGCAAAGTAATACAGTTGTTGACTCTCTACCCGAAAAGTTAGACAGATCATTTATGGTTTTATGGTTGAATAGATCATTACAACTAAATTATTCCAATTATGTAAGGGAAAAGTACAACCAAATCTGTACTTAATGCCAAAAAGATTACAAATAAATCAATGTTTTCCTCCAAGCTCCTCATGTACTCTTCTGTAGTTTTATAAATAGACTTATATTCTTGGTTCCACTGCACTTTCTATTTTACACACTACTTCTTTAATCCATTTTATTTAAAGTTCAAAATGAATCATCTTACGAGTGCCCAGAGGGAACGTGTCCTATTTAAAGGGACTGTGGATAAAGTGGTGCTGTGCTGTGTGCTGCAGATATCTGGTCTCTGGGGGTGATTCTCTACATGCTGGTCTGTGGGGTTCCTCCGTTCCATGAAACCAACGACAGCGAGACTCTGGTCATGATCCTGGACTGTCGATACAGTATCCCAGAGTACGTCTCCGACCACTGCAAACAGTAAGTACGCACATGTATACACACATACGTAGACAGAGAGACGCAATCAGTGCAAACACAAACACACACAGGCACACACAGGCACACACAAACACCATGTTGGGTGTCGGTGCCTTTCCAGAGCATTATACTGACTTTTCACAATCAATATTCATTTCTTGGAGACTTATCGTATCCTTAACCTTAGTTACAAATTGCCTAACCCTTTTACGTCATATATGAACTTTAAACCATCTTGTTGATGTAAAAATAAAGGATTTACGTCATGAGGAACTGATTTTTGACCCCGTGAGGAGGCAGGTCCCCATGATGTGAGTGTGTACAGATCTTTGTCCGTACAGTGTTATAAATACTTGCTCACAGGGTCATGCTGTTACATAACTCAGTGTATACAATGGAAACTCTGGGCTGCTCCAATTCTTTCCATACTTAGTCTTGTAGTCAATTCTAATATCTTTTTTAAGTTACCACTGTAATGGTCCATCTTCTTTTCTAAAATACACTTTTTTCCCCTCCCAAAATCCAAACCTTCAATAATGTTTTCATGTTACTCTCCACATGTCTCTTTTTGCCAGGTTTAAATCATATATTTTAAGCCTTGCCTACATACTGCTCATTGACACTCGACATGCTTTATTTTCTCTAAAAACATTGACTGATTGTAGTTTCCTCTTTAAAATGAAGTAGGTAATTAAGTTAGGATTAAGTTTAAATTGAGTTCTGCCTCTGCTCAAGACACATGGTCTCACAGAATTACTGTAATGAATAACCCTGGCTGAACCCTCTCTAATGGAACTAATATCTAGTATTATGTAATATGAATATTTAGAGACATAGTAGTATAAATAGTCCCAAATCATGCTTTAAGTATCCATAGCTACAACTAGGGATCAACTGATAACAATATAACTAACAATACTGGTATTGAATATCTGCACTGATGTTGACAAATGAGCAGAATCTGGTATCGGTTTCATGATATCGGTATATCAGTAAGACGATGTCCTGGTTGGACCTTAGATGTAACAAGACTACTTATAGACAGATTAAGGCCTAAAACATCTCAATGTTTGAACTTTTTAACACAATGCTGTTCAGTAGTGTTTTGCAGGATAAATTACAGCTGCATACCAGAAGTGGATCTGTTATGTATTAAGTTACCTGTATTTTAAGGAAATAAGTCCCTACACGGGTATCGGTTCATATCAGCAGATACTTAAAGTCACAGTATCGATATCAGAACTGAAATAGCTGGATCAGTGCATCCCTAGCCTCAACCAAAATGTCCGAATAGCCAGATCTTGAAGTTCATAAGGTTCAGTTTCGCCCGTGGCTGGGTTTGTCATTTATAGTCCTGCACTCTCCAGAGATTTAATGCAGTAGATGCAGGGGGCGACCGGATCTGCTGACCGGAAAATTCTCTCATTAGTCTGCGTTTCACTGGATAATTTGTGTGTCCTACTTATTTCAGAGACCAGTGCTGCAGTGTGAAGTCAATCCATACAATGTCCTCACTCACTTACCCTTTTAACGCCATGCAGCTCTTTGGACTCCCCCCTGATGATGTAGGCATTACCTCATGTCCCAGAGACCACTGCAGGTCACATGTTCTTGTGTGTTTTCTCACTTAACCTTGACTCTTTACACTACGTATCCAAACCACACAATGTTCAGCAAAGTCAACATCAACACCATTTGGTAAGAGTGGAATGCCTAAAGTGCTGTGCTCCACTTTTGATTATTCATTACATGTGTTTATTTTTTTTACTTAAAGGTGCACTGTGTACCTTTGCAAATGGAGTGTTTAGCTCCATGGAGATATTTTTGCCTCACCTTGAATGTTTACAACTATGGCATTAAATGTATTTATCTTGCACTTATTAAATTACAGGTGTTTTTATTGCTCAAAATACCTTGAAAAACACATTTCTTTTGCAAGCTGGGCCTCGTCTCTACAGATCTGACCTGTAACTTGGTGCAATCTTGTCATAGATTGTCATAGATCGA